TTTTTTTTTTTTTTTTTTTTTTTTTTTTTTTTTTGATTGGGAACAGAATATATCTATACAGTCCCCGGTTGCAGCTGATTTGTTGCAAATCTAGCATTTTTTTTTCAGGTCTCCTAATACAATTACTGCAAGTTCTACGTTTATATAATTTGAAATTTAAGTGGAGCGACACTAAATCGTAAATTCAAGTCCCAGAGGCAGTTCACTATGGAAAATTTCCATGTGACGTTTGATTGACTAGCGTGCTCAATGAGTTCCTTGCAGCAGACGAGTGGAATAAATTTTCAGGGCCACTGTTGCTACAGTTGATTAAGTGTGGGCTGTTTTTTCTTGCAACAGCTGCGTGAAGTTCTTGTGTTTGGTAGTTGAAGAAGTGCTAACAGATGAGCATTTTACTGGAAGGCGAGTTATTCTTTGGAATGTCAGAAAGTGCTTCTTTGATCTGGTACATTTTGCATGCTCATAAATCTTTGTAGTAACTTTTGACCGCTTGACATTTTCTGATGAGAAGTTAGAAATGTGACTTTCTGTAGTCCAGAAGACAGACAAAAATATTTATGCTGTTGGTAGCTTTGTCGAAGTCCATGTTGCCAGAAGTATATGTGTTTCATCTTCAGTTGCAGCTATACGATTAAAATTGGACGAAAAAAGTTGCTGCGAATGTTGAGGGAGGGAAACTGCGGAGTATTCTCGAACTTTTAAAACACTACTGATAAAGATCACTTGATCGTCATAAATCTTTTTTACAGTCAAGTAAATAGCGCGCACCCGACGAAGAAAATAACTCATTTGTTGTTAACTTGTTCCACGGAGAAAACAATGTTTATTCTGGAACTGCAGTCTGAATGAATGAAGTAATGTCACTTCACTTTAAGTGTTCAATTAATTTGTACCGCTTCGTAGTCTTCTTCCCACTGTTTGATATGACCGGTTCAAAGGTTCAAAGGATCAACATTTTTTCTCAACTAGAAAGTAACAGAACAGTAATTTTTTAAAAACACTTTTCAATAAAGACAATAATATGGCAGAATTATGCAGTTAAAAAAATTTTTTCAGAGCAGTTTAACAATGACATAATTGCTCTTTAAGCGGTGACAAAACAGATGCAACATATTTGAGTAGCAGACGAAGTTGTAATGCGTAAACGATATAAATTATGATTTGTCAATTAAAATTGTTTAGCTGCGATAAAAG